ATGGCCTTTGCAAGAGTTATTGTCAACCAACATGAGTTTAGCTCAAGATGATATTTATTTACAATCCTATCTTTGACTGTATTTAGATAAAAAAATATATATTACAAATATAAAATTCAAATCTTAGGCTATTCAAAAATATATAATTTGTAATAGTTTATCTTACTCATTAAGTTTTCTAATGTAACATAAAAATTCAGAATTTTTGCAGACAAATATGCCTACAAAGGCTTACAGATGAAGAAATAATAATTTAAGTCAAAATGAATCATTTTGGAAGGTACCAAATTAGTTCTGAAATCTTTGAATCATTAATGTCTTTGCAATATATAAAAAATTTGTATATTTTGATCAAATTTATTACAAATGATGATACAGTCGATTGTTATCTTGGCCAAGTCTAATATTATTTTACACATAAAGTTAATTTGCCATCTAGACAGGCTGAACATTTTCTAGCATTTGTTTATTAGTATAAATCTGCAAGTTCTTCAAATATGCAGTATTATTTTAGCGAAGAAGAAATATGTAATGTCAAATTATGAGATACCAAATTTTATCTGGAAAGTCATGATTATATAATACCAGTTCATCATATTTTGGGTTGATTTATACTGATTAACTATTGAATTTCAGCCTGGTGAAATGCAAAAGAATATTTGGCTATTAATTCAATTAATAGAAAATACCATTTGTAAAAATAAATTGAATGTTTTTAGTATTATTTAGCTGTTAATCCTAAATATCAGTTATATTTCCTTTTGAATTTTATTTTATTTTGAAATATTTTAGCCAATTTTGATGTATATCAATCAGATGTAAATCAGACGTTAATCGACTATAAATAAAATAAGTTAAATTTTAGCCAATTTTTGATGTATGCTAATCAGATGTAAATCGGTTATAAATAAGATAGGTTAAATTTTAGCCAATTTTTGATGTATATCAATTGGACGTCAATCAGCTATAAATAAGATAGGTCAAATTTAGCTAATTTTTGACGTATGTTAGTCAGCAATAAGTATGCCAATCAGCTATAAATAAGATAGGTCAAATTTTAGCTAATTCTTAGCCAATTTCTAATATATACCAATCAGCTAGGCCGATTTTTTAATAATTTGCTGAATTTAGGCTGAATTTAAGCTGATTTTTCACATGTCTGATTTTTTTGATTTCGATCAATGAAAAATATATTATAAATATTTTAATATAATAAATACTAAAGTTAGTAACTATAATTAAATTATATAAATTGCAACTTTATAAAATTTATTATAGTTGTAATATAATTTAAATAATAAATTATAATTAGTTTTAATCAGTTGCAACTAATTATATAAGTTTAATTAATTTGCAATTTATTATAATATTTATTATAATTTTAAATTATAGTTGCAACTTAAATTATAATTACAACATAATTTAAATAATAAATCATAATTAGTTGTAAGGAGTTGTAACTAATTATATAATTTTCATTAATTGCAATTTATTATAATACAGTTATAATTTTTATAATAGTAATTAGTTATAATTAATTAATAATTAATTACATATATAAAAGCTTTGAATGGTTTAGTTCAGTCTAAATTAGATGCTAATCTGTATCCAAACTGAAAATTTCAGTTTGATTCAGTTTGGATTAGAATTATAATCTGAAAAAAATCTAAACTGAACCAAAAATTTTCAGATTGATTTTTATGCAATTTGAAATTGATTTGAATTGAACTGATCTAAAAAATCTTCAGATTAATCTGAACCATTTGGAGCTTTACATATATTTTTATTTTTTGTTTATTAATTTTTTTTAAAAAAATTCACATGCTTTTTTTTATCTTTTAAAATATTTAGTTTTTAATATTTTTGATATAGATAATATACTTTCAAGTTATTATACTGAACCATCAAATAAAAGTAATATAAAAAAAGAGAAGGTTAAAATTTACAGAAATTTGAAAATATATTAAACGAGAAAACAAATAAGTTCTGTTAATTATAAAAGAACTTGCATTATTGTAATAAATTTTAGATTGTAACTAAACCTTTAAATTTAAAAGTATATTTAGCTAAAAATTATTTAATATGTTTAAAAAAAATATCCTAAATTTTATAAATGAATTAATAAAAATAAAATATAAGACAATAAAAAATCTAAAAAAAAAGTAATATAGAATTAATTTAAACATTCAAATAATACTTAATTTTGAAAAATTTAAACTTAATAAATCTAGTATTCAAGAAATTAATAGTATTTTATTAAAAATATTTGTATAATATAATATAATATTTAATATTATAGAAAATCCTTTTTTAATAAATTATTAAAATATAATATGCTAATTATAATCCACTATAAAGACAAAAATTAGCTATAAAATTATTAGAAATAAAAGTAATTCAGATAAATATAAAATTGAAAAAGTTTTAAATAATACATTAAATATTTAACATTAATCATTAATGAATAGATATTATTAATGGTTAAAGATTTTGGCCAGTTCCAACCTCTATTATAATTATTAACATTAAACTTGTAATATAAAATTTGCAAAATAAAATAAAAAATTTGATCCAGCAGCAACTCATATACTTACTTTATTTCAATTATTTCTGTTTTTTAATAAAAAAAAATTTTTTTCTTTTTATTATATTGTTACACATACGACATTTAATTAATCACATGTTTCATGCAATATAGTTTAAATTATTTAATTTTTTATGTAAATTAACATCAGTGATGAATTGGTATAGTAGTAACAACGCGTGGCATGGTGCGAAAAAACGGCATGTTGCGGGTTCAGCTGCTACTGTACTCAATTTCACATTTTTTTTTTTTATTATTCATTCATCCCGTGATCCAATTTCCCCCATTTTTTTTACAAAAACATTTTATAAATCATTTTTTTTTTTTTTTAGAAAGTTTATTTTTAGCATGTAGTTTAAATTTATTAAAATAAACAGTCAACCAAAGGCTTTTCTTATCGACCGGTTGACTGACCGATAACTAATTGGCAAATAAAGAATAATTTATATTTAATTAACCATCGTTTCAATTTATTATAATTCACGATGTATTCAGAAAAGTATATAAAGTATATAAATCTTAGACTTCTCTCAAACTCTCTCAAATTTTTCTGAAACTTTTTCTAAAACTAATCGCTTTTAACAGGAACAAAATGATGTTGTCGCTTAATTGTTTGATTCTAGGACAAGCTTCCAAAAAAGGTTTCACCGAAGATATTGGCGAAAGATATACCAACGATGATAATCTTGAAGTCGAATTTTCTAAATTTAAAGTTTCACATTTAAAAGAGAAGCTCATTCGTAGGCAAACCATAAAAGATATAAATCAAAATTCTGAACACATTGATCTTTGGAAAGTTGACAGTACGAAGGTTGATGAAGAAGACGTCAATCTTGAAAAATTTACTGAAAGTGACATCAAAAGTAAACTCGGAGGTGAAAAGATGATCCCTCGATTCCCGCTTGAAGATTATTTTAAGGCTGATAAGAAAATTGATGCACGGGGCATTCATATCATCGTAGTTGCTCTCACTGGTAAGTGTCTCCCATCGTTTTACCTTTCGAACAAGAAATTTCCAGTAACAAAATATCTGATCTCTTTTTTTTCGCGTTAAAGCGGGTCCTTCGCAAGGTGTTCCACAAGGTACAGTATCTAAATAACTTCGAGTATCTATTAACCGAAATGAACTCAAAGAAAATTTATAACAAATCACTTACTTATTATTGGCTTTTAGGACCTAACTGGAACGATGCTTCTTCCATCTACGAGTGGATACAACAACAGTTCACATTGGACCGAAAACGAAAACGAGTATGTCTTTCCTGCTTTGGCAAAGACTTTGAACTTCTTCAACGAGATGACACCATTACAACTCTCTGGAATGGTAATCAAGGACGATTTGGATTGCGAGACGATTTCAATTCATTACGGAAAATGACAAAGCTATCATCCAATCCCCATATTAGCTGGTGGACCTGGGATTGGAAAAAGCAGAATCCTAGACGAAATTGAAGGATTAATCAAGAAAAAAGCTGAGGAATCTCGCAATAATGATTTCACAAATATGATTGTCATCAATACAAGTTATGGGAATTCAACCACTGCTGACGACATTGATGAAAAGGTTCAAGCACAGGTATCTCTTGCAATACGTATTCTATTTGAGTACTTTCGACCAAATCACAATTATTTTCCTCAGGATTATAATTTTGTCAGCTTCCGCTCATACTGTAGGCAACATCACAATAATTCAAACATTTCAGACTTTACCCTGGACACTGCTTTTCAAATTATCTACTATGACTTTATGCAAATTAATCAAACAACACTTAATCCTCAACTGGTCCTGGTACTCGGCATCGACGAGTTCAATAAATTGCATGTTCAAAATAAAAATGTCTGTAAGAAACTTATACACGCCATTGGAGGGTCAATGTGTGGATCGCCTGCAATCATATTTTTCATTCCTATCCTAGCTGGAACGATTGAAGGACCCTTAATTGATTATATTTCAGGTTCTATGCACGAACCACTTCCCCTCCCACTACGTTTACTTAATGATGATGATGCAATCAGAATTGGTATGAAAATGAATTTAATTGATGATGAATATGTCAGCCTGCATCCATATTTTCGAATAAGTATTAGTGATATTGAAGGACATTGTAGAACATTGGAGTATTACTACGAAATTTTTTCACAACAATTTATAACAGAACACGTTAAACTAGAAACAGAAGAAATATTGATGACAGAAGAGGAGAAACTAAAAACAGCTGTTCGTAACGTGAATATCGAGAATATCATGGAATACGTCAAAGATAGGATTGTAAATAAATATCATCTTGAGCTAAACTCATGTTGGTTGACAATAACTCTTGCAAAGGCCAT